GTGCTGTGTTTGGTGAAGTTGTACCAAAATCGACATTCGGATGTCACACCGACGGCTTATACCACTTTTAGTATACTGGGAGGAACGATTTTGTGCGGTAAATCTCGTGTTGCAAAACATTTTATTGGRTTTTTGGATGTGGAAATTACGATTCCAGAAATTAATATCTCCTACAATTATTTTTCGTGTTCTCGAACAACATAAAAATTACAATTTTTGTTCATTGTGCGGCTCAGGAAGATATTTTTTGGTAGATGGAAACTTAAAATGTTCTACGACAAGTAAGGTACCTAAGCCAAATAAGGCCCACTTAAAATTCCCCACCGTTAATTTTTTTTTTCAGTTGACTGTAAATGATGAAATATGTTCTAAACTGATGCGTCATGGTGTTGGATATTAAAATTACATACAGGGTGTGTCAGTACCGTGGAGGGAGAAATAAAAAATGCTCTTGGTATACAGAGTGTGTCAGAACTTGTGCCCCAAAGAAAAATTTTAAGAAAGATAAGATACCAGGAACATGGAAAAAATGTTAAAAAATTCTTTGTCAATAAACTTTGACATTTATTTTTTGACTTTTGACATTTTTATGTCTATTTAATGATGCATGTTTTTTATAATTATTTAGCCACAAATAATATTAAACAGGGTTACAATTTAGGATACAGCTTCCTTATTGTTTCCTCTTCTAGCAAAAAAAAAATGGAAAATTATTTATCCAACAGAACTAAATAGAGTCAAAGTGCAAAATTTAAACTCATAACTTCGAAATTTTTATAAATAGAATTTTTTTAACATATTTTTCATGTTCCCGATATCTTACCTTACATGGCATTTTTCTCTGGGGCGCGAGTTCTGGAGCATCCTGTATTTCTAATTACATATTAATACATGTTTTGAAGTTTTTTTTGTATTTTTTGCTTATATGATTACTTAAAAATTCTATCCCAATTATCAAATATGGGTCTTATTTGGGGCTAGGAGGTTTCAAAAAAGCTTTTTATAATATTTAATGTTTATGTTAAAAACATGCAGAAAAATTAATAAAACAGGCATTTTTGTAGTACATATTGTTAAACGAAAGTTCAAATTACAATTTTAGTAATAAATTCAAACCTTTGCATATTTCAAAAAATATATAAAAAATCGTAAAAATTAAGTAAGCCTTATTTGGCTAAAGTAAAATATTGAACTATTCTAAGCTTCAAAGATGAGAATGCAACGCATTGTTATATAACCGAAACTATATAAAGTACTATAAACGTGTGACGTCTAATTTTTCGAAATTTTCTTTTGTTTTTTTTTTTGAGTTATATTTAAAAATACCGTTTCCAGCTTTTTTTCGCCTTCAAACATTTACAAAAAAAATACAGCTGTAAATTAAATAAGATAATAAGAAACAAAAATTTTTCAAACTTAATTCGTTTAAGATCAATAAAAAACCGCTATGTTTAAAGAAACCACGATGCAAGTGAAACTTTTTTTCGGATCAATACACTTA